TAACGACACAACACCGCGCTCGAGGACAAGAGAGATCTGACTCGAGAACACCGGAGCTTTTCAACATCAATATAAAGCCATATTGATGACCCTTTCACGCCCTCACGCATTAGGCCCCTGAATTACATGACTACCATGTTCCGATATGGCTTGAACTGTTCGCATCGCCGGGAGCTTAACCCTTGTTCTTTCCAAGTTCATATCGGCCTGAACGCTAAAAATGGCTGACCGAGGCACTATACCCTTTTCTGTTCAAAAAAGGCATGAGGATTACGGAACAAGATCAATTACGGCACATGGTTCGGTTTAACATAATCTCCCAAACTCCCATAACGATCAGTCAAACTCTACTTTTGCAGTTTGCCGCGCATAGTCCGAATGACGATCCTCGAAAGAAGAGCCATCTTATGTGGCGCAGAAGATGAACTCTGGGAAAGGGGAACTCAAAGTTCTGCTGTTCAGACGAAGTTGAACTGGTGTGGTTGTTTTGCAGCAGTGGACGCCAATCGGGTAGCTACATAGGGCTTTGTTCGCACATCCGCTTTATCCTACCATCCTCAGGCGATGCGGTGGCTGCGACCTCATACCACATAATCCAGAACACTTATTATCTCCAGAAAATGGTACATTTGGCCGGACGGTTCGGAAAGCTCCCGTTCGGATCTGCAGATGTGGTTTTCTCCGCCATTGGCTCGACTGACATGCTTTATCTGACTGCTTTCTTTTGCCCTAACTGGGGCGGACCTTTTAAACCCGCGCTACCGCACAAGCCGGAATCAAACTGCATATGCAGATCATTCCCATCATTCAGGTATCCACCAGAGCTCAGACAACTGCACGCTACCTAGGTTCTATGTATTCTGAAGATCAAAAGTGCCGCAGAAGCTGTTCCCATCAAGACCAATAACAAGGGAGCAAGTAGAAAGTTGGAAAGAGCAGCGTCCGTGTTGGTCCTGCAGGATAAGGTTTCCCGATTCACCGCTTGATTCCATCCAAATACATTGCACCCCAGCTTTCACCGGGTCCTGCCAGCCCCAAACGCTTCTGCATCCGTCATTGTGCAAATCAGACGTGCCCATCTGTCATGGCGAAGCAATTGGCGCAAATGTCGGTCGGAGACTAAGCTTAACCCGCTCTTCAAGCCAAACATCGGATGGGTCTCCGGTTTGCTCCCTAGACCCCAGTGAAGTGAAGTCCGGCTTGAGAGGTCGACAGGATCTGCATGAGCCATTTCTTCCGGACATCCAACCTGGTGACAGGGTACTTCTGAAAATTACATCATACGGCACCTACACATACATTTCTTTTTCTCATCTCATGGTACTTTCTGGCCTCACTTCCACCACTGTCGTCTCGCACAATGCAAGACAATGCAAACAATCCCTGATCAAGAACAAAAGAAAAAGCAAAGACATACCACACTCAAACCCACCTGATCCCTACCAGGATCAGAACTTCCTTCCCCGCACGATCGTTATTTCGCTCCGTGTGGCTCATTGCAGATCTATCATGTGCACTGTATGTTTGCACCTGCTGGAAACCCTATGTATAGTCTGTGTGGGTCCTCCCCCCGGACACCATCCCCAAGCATGTGCACATATACACGCGTACATGTATGTATGTATGTGTGCACGGGCTGCAAATGGGCTTTTTGTGACTTACCGGGGGTGGGGGATGGAATGGGGTGGTGACAGAACTAATTTCCTCCATAGACAGGGGAGCTTACTAGCCTGCCCAAGGTCAACACAAGGAAGAAGGGAAAGACAGAAAGTACTGACCTGGTCTGGCCTAGCCTGACACACTGGATCTTTTGAGAGTTGCACACACCTTCCCTGCGGGAATCCCGGATGTTGGGTAGAAACGGTGACACCGTCGGGATGAGCATGTTTCACGAGTTTCACCACACCATTTCCTTTTCGCTGAGAGACTAGACCAGTCCAGCACGGTCCACTCACCACGTATCCTTGAGGAACAAACCGGAAAAACAAAAAATAGAAGAAGAAAATCATTAAGGAGACACAATGCGTGGGATGGTGGCGGTAGGGATCTGAGCGTCCCATTGATGATGACAATAATGAATTATTCTACGATCCTCTGCAAATTCCCGGGATGAGCATGCGGAAGACTAGCTCAGATCGACGGAGCTTGAACCTGAAGAAATTCGGAGAAATAACAGAAAAAACTACAGTGGGGACTGTCGGTGCTAAGGAGGCAAGTAGGGGAGGAAGACGGCAGTAGTCTTTCTCTTATGTCTGTTCCCGCTGCAGCTGCCGTCATTCCGGTTTGCTGACGACGGGCCTTCCTCCTCCTGCTGCTGCTGCTGCTGGCTTGCGGCAATGGTGTGTCTGTCTCCTTTGAAATCTTTTTTCTAATTCACGTTCATTGCGTGAATCATGACTATAATCTGCTTGCAGTTTTGCTTTTTCCTGCTTTTTGCTGTACACGTCCTCAGCAAACCCTGGCTGGTCGAGGCGTGAATGGAGGTATTCCTTCCTACTGGGAGCTCGGGAAATAATCTGTTATTTCCACATGTATGTATGCTAGAACCCTGCGCGGGTGTCGGTAGATGACAGTTCCATCCCTCAACAGCCAGGCCATCCATTGCCCTACGCAAAGTGGATAGATGGTTAGATCGTCGCAGGCCCCCGCTGGCCGCCCTTTTTCCGGCCCTTGACATAAGGATATGATTGTACAGGGGATGATGGTTCATGCAGGAATGATAGTAAGAAAAGAATGGGGTCCGCCAGGGTAATTTCAGGGTACTTCGCTTTCCTGCGTCCGTCCGCCGTAGCTCTGGTACCGGTCCAAAAGCCGGTCCATCAGCAGCACTGTGACTTTCGTCAGCAGATGGATCTAAGCATCCTTTCCATCCCCAATGCATGGCTAGTAGCTCACCCATGAACAATGTAAGAGTAAACGCATATAATATGGCGGGGGATGTCATGAAAGAATAGACGAGCGGAAAGTGACGAGAGAAACTCATTAGGCTTCCAAGGAGCATACCAAGGGACACGCGGGCCGCTGCGCTGATGCCCATACATCTGCGGAGCGTGTGGCGACGCGCTAATAATACAAAAGCACCAAAGAACATCATGGAGAGTGACGCCACGGCAAAATAGTACACATAGACGAATTCTAGGAGGGCCATATACCCTCTCAGCAGCTGCTCACTACTCAAGCGGCCAGGATCAGGGTGGTTCGAAGGCATGATCCGCATGGTGGAGAACAGCGCCGCAGTTACATTCCCTACCAGGTCACTGAGCATGTCTCGGGCGATGGGGACTTGGCCCGTCCGACGGGAGGGACAAAGCGGGTGATTTGGGAGATCATCCAAGATCCGGGAGATTGTAACCTGTTCGTTTACGGCCCCTCGGCTATAGTCGATTTCCATATCAGCAATGGTGGCTCGAAGAATTCGGATGGCGTAGTCGGGTCTGGGCCGTGGGTCTTCACAAGCCCACAAAATGGTTTCCGCTAGGTACCGGAGTTTCAATGTGATATCCAGACTTAAGGCAAGGATCTGAGACCCTTCAAGGAGGAGAATGAGGACCACATGGAACGGGAAATGTAGCTGGGCCCATATTTGCTGAGAGTACTTGCCCAGAACACGTCTTGGAGAAAGGTCGAAGTACGCTTGCCACAAGAAGTACTGAGATTGACATGTTAGGACTCGGATTAGAATAGAACTGAACGGTGGGTCAGTCAATCATCGGGGCCATACCACACTAGTTGTGACGCCTAGGATATGGACAAACGACCACTTCGTCCAGCCACCAGGGCCTACTGTCCGGTTGACGAGCCTAGTGACAGATATGACACCTTCACCGATTATGATCAGAGTTAGGAGGCCCATTCTTGTGTTGAGATGGGTATCTTGAAGTCCAATCCCAGGTGTGGCGCTTGAAGTTCCCATTACTACCCACATCTCGACCCCAAATAGAACAAACCAAACGGTCCAAATATAGGGGTTGACTCCTTCACGGGGACGGAAGGCATAATACATCTACAGCAAGTCAGTTTGACAAGGGTACGAGCTAACCGATGGTTGTCTGCCTTGGGTAGCTTACCAGGAGGTAGGTCAAACTTGAGACAAATTGCATCCCGGCAATGATGGATACGCCCCGAGCTGCAGGCATCATACGCCGTCGAAGAAACACGGCGTTCACAGTGTATTGCAAGGCGAGTAAGAGCCGACTGCCACCGAGGATAAGGCTCAAGGACTGGAAGGCCCAGACATTTTCTGGCTGAACACGTGTGGTGAACCTTGAACCTGCCGATGCAAATCCAACCATAGCAGCCAATTGAATGGCCTTGCAGATTCTCTCGAAGATCGAGTCTCGCGCGAAACGGATATCAAATAGTGTGACTTGAAGCCAGGTAAACCAGATGATCCCGAGGAAGCCAATGTAGGCCCACAAAGCTGGCAGCATCAGTTTGTGATCAAACCATGTTAGTGAGCTGGTATACCTTCTACGTTGTTGATTTCATGTGTAGCTGTAAAGGTGGAGAGATTTGCAACGAAGAACAAGTCAAAGAATAGCTCGATGGGTGTTGCCTCGGATTGTTGACGGAGATGCGGAAGATCTCCATCCTTCTCGTCAATTGGCGACTCAATGAACGCAATGACACTACGCTGCCTATTGAAGTTAAGAAATCACACAAGTACCATCTCGCCTAACCGAAAGTCCAACTTACTGCGTGGCTGCTCTGGCACGCCTATCTCTACTCAACGGTTGGTCAAACCAGGACTTGAAGGGTATTGGTATCATAGTGATGGGCCTTAGGGAAGCTAGACAACTAAACGATGGGTATCATGAAATATAGAGTAAGAACAGTCCTGGTCGGTGGTCGTCAAGAAATTGGCGCAGTCGATCGGTTTCGATACGAAGAGCAACTGGTGTTGTCTCGGAAAGAGCGATGGTGATGCTCTTGGACAGGGACTTCAAAGAGGCAGCCACCGCAGACCGTGCGGAAGGCGTCAATGAAGCATTTTTGAAGCATCAAGGCTCCTCATGCTCAGAGCTGTTTGCAGATGCTGTCACCGAATTTCCAAGACCCTCTAAGCCTCGCGAATTCGCCATCTCATCGGCTGTAGAGAGGTTTCCATCTGAGCCAGGAGTGATTCCAGCCTCCTGCTTAAGCTTCTCGTAATTATCTCCGGCTTCTTTGATCAAAGCCTGGATTTCCACTTCCCGAACAGCTATGTCCGCCTTCTCCTTCCTCAGTTCCTCCATACGGTCGATCATCTGAGCCTTTGACTTCTCTAGGACCGCCAAGTTCATACGCAAACGCTCGAGTGAGTTCGACAGACGGGGTATCGAGGTCATCTTTGGCGGAGTGCGCGGCCGGTCAATAGGGTCTCTGCTCGCACCCATAGCAGCTCGTGCCTGACTGGCGTCGTACGCTGCTTTTTCCTCCAAGTCCGAATCATCCTCATCCGACAGACCTTCAGCATCATCAATAAGCTCACGCATTTCTTCCCGCTGTTTTCGCTTCTGCTCTTTCTCTGCTTTCCTCCCAAGGGATATACGTCCGTCCTCAACAAACTCGTCAAATCCTTCTGCGAAATCTTCATCGTCACGGACAAGCCTCGTATCCTCCCGCCGCGCCTGAAGATCCCAGTCGTCCTCTTCCATATCATCCTCGAGGGAAATGAAGTCTTTCTCGGTGGAAAGCGCCGCTTCTTCCTTCGCTAATCGGGCTCTCCGAGCTTTCTTTTCTCTAATCTCTGCTTCGCTGGGAATAGCAGCAGGGGTTGAAACCTTCATGACCTCACCAAACTTGGCAGCCACATCAATTGTCTTCTCCGATTCATCCTCAGCGGCGGGCTTCGGCGTAGAGGGGGTCGAGTTTCGGAGCTCTTTTAGATATTCGTCGTTGTAACTCGGCCTATCCTGCTCAGGCCCTACCCGGAGGGGGATCTGACCACCTGCGCCCGACGGTGTCAAGGATCGCTGAAAGGCACTCTTCTCTAGAGCACGTTTCGCGAGCCCAGGTCGTTTGGGAATGACAACTTCGCTTTCCTGTGCGTCATCGTCCGCCATCGAGGTACTGCCGGGACCGAACGAAAGGCGCATTTTCGACTTTTGCTTCGTTTTCGAAGTCGGAGGACGTTTGACAACAGGACCGGAGTCTACCAGCCTTCCATTAGTATATCCATCACGTAGAGTTGAGCTTGATCGCAGATACAAACCTTGCTCGTCGGCGTCATTTTCCTCATCATCGCCACCAATTTTGCGGGGCTTTCGGCGATTTGCAAATTGAGAACTCATTGTCAAAGCGTATGAAGAAACCTAATAATCTCCTTGTCCAAACCGAGCCCCCGACTATGAAATCAGCCAAAAGCCTGAAGGATGAAACCCCGCTGGCGTCACTTGCAGCTCCGCGATTCTTTGGAGCTTGCGGGAACATCATTCTTCCGGGCCCAGCTGATTCCCACTGCTTGTATCTCAAAGTTCCGCAACGCGCTCGACTCGCCGTTACGATAGGACAGTCAGACCCCAAAACACACCATTCAAGATGCCTCAAGCCCAGCCCGAGTTGAAGAAGGTATATTATTCGCGATTGATATTCCGCCAACCCTCCCCCGACACGGAGCACCTAAGCTAACATTGCGGTTTTGCAACAGTACATGGAAAAGCGGGTATTCTGCCAACTGAACGGCAACCGCAAAGTCATTGGTATCCTGCGAGGCTATGATGTACGTCGCGCTTGTGTCCCTCGGTTCCTACTTTCCTGCCTGCTGTGTCGCTGTTACACGGGTTGATGTGCCTTGGATGGGGTCGAATATCGGTGATATTCTTGGTTCAATCCGTGGAGTGAAAGAGGGGGCGGGGAGAGTGTGTGTATGTGTGTGCAGATTGCTGACGTCTGCGCTTTCATTATCCAGGTGTTCATGAACATCGTCCTTGATGAGGCTTTCGAGGAGAAGCAGGGTGGAGAGAAGGTCGCTATCGGCATGATTGTATGTGGCTATTCCCATTTCCGAATGTTCACGTTTGCTTGGGATACTGGGATGGGCAGAAAGCTAATGATGGTCTGTTCGTCTTTCTAGGTCATTCGCGGTAACTCGGTTGTTATGCTCGAGGTCAGTATCGCCTGCCATGGGACTACGATTAGTGGCGTACTTTATCAGGAGACTAACCTGTTGTTTTTCTACATTTATAGGCTCTGGAACGTATCAGCGACAAATAAAGTGCTGCGGGTGGACGGGGAAAGTCAACATGTCTTTTTATACCTTCACTGTGGGAAATGATTTAATTGCAAAGGAGTTCACGGGTTGGTTGCTCACGGAATGATCGATGGCATCTCGCTTTCAAAAGGAAACAGAAAAGAAATCTTCATTTCAAACAATTTACGAGAAACACTTTACGCACAAAGAGATCTGGAATATACCAGATTACGGCATCCTTACTTAAGAGGGAGATGGGTACATTGTCCCAACGCAATGATCCATAACAGCTAGTCAGTTATGGTCTATCATTTTTTCTCGGCAAACCAATGCCCAACCTATCCCACCGGCAATATTCAAATGGGCCTCTGGAACTAGATAATACCCTGTGGAGATAACCCAGAATACTAGAAAGAATAGAAAAAGTAAAAAAAGAGAACCCCCACGCCATGCATCTCCTTGACCTGAAATCAGCCCACCTCCGTTCCCAAAGTCCAAACAATGAAGAATGAATGAAGCTATACGAGTTAAAATTGGTATCTAGAATTTTGTGTAATGAAGACGGCTGTGAGTAAAGTTGAGCTCATTTCGGCTTCTGGCCGAATTTCAATTTCAGCTTGAACCCACCGCCACTGGGTGTGGATGGGGTAGATGGTGCAGTCGATGGCTTAGGCTGTGCTGACGAAGCCGGGGAGGGAAGGTTTGGTATGTGCAGCTTGGTTGGAATATGCTGCGATGATGGCTTTGGACTGAATGGTGTAGTACTGGATGCCACCTTGGACTGCTTGAATGTGATACGAGGGCCCGGTGGTCCCATGCCTTGCTCTTCGCGCTTGCGTTTCGGGGCGGCTGTTGTATCTTTTGAGGGCGTGAGTGTCGTGCGGATTTTGTTTGTTCGGACGAAGTGCATGCGTCCCTGGGTTGGGTTAGCAAATTTTCAGTAGAAATGTTGGTCTCCATATTACGTACCTTTCCGAGATGCTTCACGGTCCAGTAACGAGGGTATTTCAGAGACACCATCCGAGTCGTGATTGCGTCATAGAGAACCCTGCAAAGGTCGGTAAACTCGGAGAGCTCAAGTATTCCAATGCAGGGAGAATTGCACGCCGCCCAAAGAGATTCTTTCAGCAGTTGATCGCCGGAGATCTCCTTCTTGAGCGCATTCAAGGCTCCGGTAACTGTCTGTCTCCGGGCAAGGTCTGCCTGGCGGACCTCGGTTGAAGATTCCTGCTCAATAATGAGGTTATCGGTGTTGCTAGCAGGCGCTTCCTCCTTAGTTTCACGACCAAAGGCGACTGGTGCGAGAGCCTTCCCGAACAAGTTATGTAGGCGACACCTGATAAGGGCAGAAGAGTCGTTTGACATGGTGAAAATGAACCATCGCAGTAGTTCGGGGTATTGAAAGATGTCAAGCTCAATGAGGCATTCAAACGCATCCAAGCGGAGGAGATCGTATGTTCCAGCTCGAGTATACGGCAGGAATTGCATAATATCGAGGCTCAATATTTTGGCCTCCATGAGACGCACTTGGCAGCGCAAAGCGGCTCGCGAGTAGATGTTCTGAAATGAGCTGGACCATTCATCCATCCTGCGATACCTATCAATCTCTGCAATGGCGTCTTTTTCCAATTGTTCTTCTGCCTGAGCCTCTAATACACGCTCCATGTCAAAATCGTCCACCTCGGAGGGCCTCTCAGGCTTGCCCAGCATGGCATGGCATAACGATTCCATCAAGGTCGCGACATAGAAGTTGTCCGAATACTGTCGCAGCATAAGCGTCGGGTCAATGAGGTAATGGGTCATGTACTCACCTCGTTGTTTGAGTTGTCGTTGAACTTCAACTTGTCGTAAAGAAAACGCTTGACCCGCATGGGCGTTTTGCCGTTAGTGTCGCGTACTTTGGATATGGACTCAGGGATGGCTAATTGAATAAAATATGCTGCTCTGTCAGAGAAGTCATTGGAGCGAGTCATAGGAGATCCTGGAAGGCAGAACAATTCTTGGAAAGCTCTTTCGAGGTGGAACAATCCGACCCAGTCAACAGCATCCGTAGCATGTTTCACCAGAGCTCGAGCGGCAGCCACCCGAATTCCGTAGAAATATCTTCGATCCATCAGTGTTCTGACGAATATGGTCGAAATGAGCTCGTGCTCTCGCTGAATCGCCATGTATTGCAATGACTGAATATCATCTATTGTCAGTTCCAGTCCAGTCACCTAATGAGTGAAGGGGTTGACTGACCTCCAGCTGCGCTACAACATCTCGATCTTGCTGAAGCTGCGACAGGTACATGTACCCTGGCATCGCCAACGAAAGCTTGCATATCCACTCAAAATCTGCATCCATGCGAATCCATTCATAGGACTCTCTGCTCATTCTCTCTTCCTCTTCTTCGCTCCAATCTCTTAGTTTCCATTCAGCAACCTCTTCTTCGGTCTGCAAAACGTCACCGAGACAGTAAAGCAGAACATCTTCCTGAGCTTCGGCATTAGGGTCGCCGCCTGTTACGGCAGCTGCACGCTCCTTTTGTCGCTTGTTTCGTTTGAGACGCTTATACTTGGTATTATAAGGTATGTCGAACTTCGTAACACCCTCCTTAATTTCCACAATGTGTTCATAAGGCGTGCCATCAGCTTCGTGAATTCTAATGGTCATGGATCCAGTAAAAACCGGCTGGATAACTCCTGCATAGACACCCCGTATTTCTTCCTTGACATCCCGCATGAACGCATTCTTGTCTAAGTCGCGCGTACTTGAAGCATCAGCTTGCACCTGCCGGATCATCATTTCAACCACGAGCTTCTTCTTGTTGAATCGCTGCGTGGCTTGGAACCGAGGACATCCCGCCCCGTATACCCACTGCTGGAAAAATGAATCAAGCTTTGCGTGGCCGAGTCGCTCACATGTCCTCTGGAAAAGGGAAGTCGTGACGGCACCATTCGGTATGTCACCCATCCGGGAGTTCAGGAAAAGACGGGAGATGATGCGCGACATTGTTGCCTTGCCACTCGCTTTCGTAAGTCTCCGGTCCAAGATGAACAGAACGAGCGGGGCCTTGAGCGCTATGAAATCAATTTCGGACGGATCTATCGTCAATATCGTACCCATGTCGTAGAGCGACGGACGTTCGTAGTCCAGGTCACATACTCTATCAGACATCTGTTTCAGTCGAAAGCGATATTCATTATTCCCGCAGAGCTTCCGCATGAACGTATCCGTGATGTACCAGGCGACACCGACCGTTACCCATGTATCCGTTGCCTCTTTTGGCACAATGTTTACACCAATCCACTGACAGGATAGGGCGTGGACTAGGCTGCGGGTAGAGTCATACATTGGGTCGATGATGTCTTCGGGGAACAAGAGGCGGCTGCTACATATCGATAAACAAGCCGTGGGTAGTGTGGCATCAGGTGTGTCGTCCACAAAGCATATCTTATAGCTAGCGAACGGGTACGATCCATAAGACAGTGAGAAAAAGTCAATTGCCTTCGCCATAGGAAAGCAGGTATTCCTGACTTCATCTCCTCTTCCCGGGAGGCAGAATGCGTGCAACGGTATGGCGTTTAGACCAAGCTGTTCGTCTTGGTCGCTTTCGCGGAAATCGGAGAGGTTGATGTATTCGAAGGGACCTACGGCAAATCCAAGTTGCTGGGCAGATAGAGGGGAGTAGCAGGCGAACGAAACCGTCTTCTTGGTAGGGTCCTTTGGGTCGATGATTTCATCCGTCAAATCCCCGGAACAGACGACAGACAGATCAAGAGTCTCATCATCCGGAGCGATATACCGTTCATGTCCAGAAGCAGGCTTCGAGCGACTGGGGCCCGAGGCGCCGGAATGATCACGGGATTTCCGATCAAACATATCACCTAAGGAGCACGGGCACTTGATCGAGAATTCCCACGTACAGCGCGACAAAGGATCGTCGACGCAGGGGAAGAGAGGACAGCAAGCGCCATACCCCAGGGAGTTGGTTGTATAAGCGTGAGGATAGCGTCTGTCGCCACTCTCTAATCCGACAAACTGCAACCCATCCCGAATATTCTCAATGACGAAGTCGATGGTAACCGTGAGGGCCGTAAAGCGTGGAAGTGACGATTCGGCTGCCTTGGCGCTCAAAGGTCCTTCTGCATCATCAGCGGAGCCCGTAGCACGTAAGGTCATTTGGTCTTGAGCTTCAATCGAGGAGGGATCAAGTTCGTCGATCCGGACGCTTTTGGGGACCGTGATGAGAAGGTCAGATTCTGGCGGAGATTTGAGTAGTCCATCTATCTTCGTCGCGAGGCGCTGGTGATAATGAGGGCCGTAAAGTTGAAGCGTGTCATAAGGGTCCGTGTATTTGATGCTAGGTACCTTGCCACTGACATTGATACGCCGGAGTTCGCCTTGTCGGAAATTTAAACGGATAACGCGAAGGTCTTTGTGATGCGGATGGATCGTGAGTTCCGTTTTTCCCTTGAGGCTCTTGCTGGCAAAATCGATCTCAAGCTCGACCTTCTGATGCGCGACGGTGAATCCCAGCTCCGGCCTGACAGGCCCAGCTGGGGTCTCCACGACGCCTGGCATGACGCAAGATACTCAGTCGTGCACTGCGCCGCGAGCGCCACGATGGCCAACTACCGTCATGTCCAAGCTCCAGGAGCGATGACTATTCCCACCCGACCGCGTTGATCCCGACAGACACTTTTGAGTATGATGGTATTCGATCTCGTGTAGGCGGGGGCGAAGAGACTGTTCACTGGGAAGAGATGGAGAGCTGCTTCGACGGGCGGGGAACAACACCGAAGGGAAGCAAGCGTTCGAGGTGACCGTGACACTAAGTGAGGTTTGGCACGAAAGGACCGTTCGTGAGGACGGAGATGGGGAGGGATAGATGAGAGACTGGAATGAGGAGTAGCACGAGAGGAGATGGACGACCTGGGATCGTCCCTCCAACAACCATCAAACTGAACAATCACTTTTCTATCTTTTTGCCTGTCGCGTTTCTTCTTTGCGGTCGAAAGCTTCCCTGCGGAGCTGGCACCGCCACGTGATTCCGATCCGCGGATGGCGCGAGGAGCCGCCCGTTCGTTCCTCTTTCGGTGCCGCATCGTCAACCGTTCGGGTCCCTTTTCTTCGAAACCCTTTTTAAACCTTTTTTTAAAAGTCTTGGATTCATTCCCCTTCTCCCCTATACATCCCCCCCTCCCTCTACCTTGCAGCATTCCGTTGTCTGTATTCCCCCTTCTTTCATATGCGATAGAGCGTTGACGTTGTCCGTTTGATTGCGCTTTGATTTCCTTTCCCCATCCCCGTCTTGTCCGTCTAGTCGCATACCGCGCGATATGAGCCAAGTTTGATCTCAACCCCCCCCAGATAGTCTTTTCTTTTTTTTGCCCCAACATTCCAACTGTACATTCGAAATCAAGATGAGTGTAATATTCAAAAAGATCCAAGGTTCGTAATATCCTGCTGCAGCACTTATTCAGTCCAACGTAACTGTAGAGCTAATTCGCGTCGCGCATTGTATAGCGATCCAAGACTCGCTATCCGACGACGTGCTCTTGCCCCTCAAGAGCTACAAGTACTCGAGTGTCGATAAATCCTATATCTCCAATTATATACTGAGGCATTACGTACTGCCGCCCTGGTCCGATCTATACTTCAGACCCTGACGCTGACAATGGGCGGGTTAGTGGAATGCATTCGTCGAGATCTTGCCGCTTTGGCTGGCCCCCAACATGGTCACTCTCTTGGGGTTTCTGTTCATCGTGGGCAATGTGATGCTCATAGAAGTCTACATGCCTGATCTCGTGGGACCTGTAAGATGACCCCGGAAGAGCTCTCTATGAGTACAGTGAGGCTAACATGTTGTCATTGTAGGCTCCTTCCTGGCTATACTATAGTTTTGCTCTGGGCATGTGGATGTGAGTATATGGCTACATGGTTGATGTGGGAAACCACTTCTAATAATGCTTCAAGGTATTCTACGCTGGACAACGTCGATGGGAAACAGGCGCGCAGAACGGGGACATCCAGCGGTTTGGGAGAGCTGTTCGAGTAAGTGGTCATCGAAGCATAGAATGAAAGGCTCTAACTCTCTTCAGCCACGGAATCGATTCTTTGAACTGCACTCTGGCTAGTCTTCTCGAGACTGCTGCCATGGGCTATGGCTCTTCTCAGCTTGGTGCTTACACTGCTCTCGTCCCTTGCCTCGCAATGTACTTTTCGACCTGGGAAACCTACCACACCCATACACTCTATCTCGGCTACTTCAATGGCCCCACTGAAGGCCTTCTTATCGCGATCGCCATTATGATTGCCTCTGGCATCTATGGCCCTCAGATCTGGAGCCGACCGATCGTTGAATTCCTGAACTACCCGCAGATCTTTGGGAACAACTCGATGAAGGATCTCTGGGTCCCCATTCTCCTCCTCTCCTTCTTCCTCGGACACCTGCCAGGCTGCGTCCTGAATGTTATTGCTGCTCGTAGAAAGCAGAACCTTCCGGTCGCGCCCGTCTTCAAGGAATGGGTGCCGATGATTGTATTCACGGGCTGCAACATTGCTTGGCTTTTCTCTCCGTATTCGACGCTTTTGTCGGAAAACCGACTAGTCCTCTACTGCTGGACTATCTCGTTTGTCTTTGGACGCATGACGACCAAGATCATCCTCGCTCATCTGTTAAGACAGCCATTCCCCCATTGGACGGTGCTGCAAATTCCGCTCATCGGCGGCGCAATCCTAGCCAACCTTCCCCGCCTGGGATTCCCTATGGTGAGCGCCTGGGTGGAGCTACTGTACCTGCGCCTCTACCTTGCGTTCGCCTTTGTTGTGTACATGCACTGGGCATTCCTCGTGATCAACAGGATCACCACTTTCCTCGGAATCAACTGTCTGACAATCCGTCGCGACAAGTCGGCAGCAAGAGACAGGGCTTATCGTGAATTTGGCGAGAACCAGCCCCTCAACCCAAACTCTGATCCCAGCAAAGGGGGTATCAAGAGCCATTGACTATCTTCCTATGGTGCGTGTGAACAACGCATCTGATGGAATAACTACCTTTGTGTTCGCGCTATATAAAATGGCTGCCCAGTCTACGTTCCCTGTTGAATACTTTGGACCGTAAACTGCGCAACTGGAGTTGGCGAGAGCAGAAAACTCGGGCTTTTCTATGATAACCAGATCCGAGCTGCAGCATCATTTTCTTTTTTCCTCACCTGCTGGTTACCTTGGCGACGTACACATGTCCTCCCATATCTACGATTCTAATGTCCCCCCTTGGATTATGCCACCAGCATTCAGGCTGATGAACTTACGACATGAGTGGATGGATGACGCGGACGCAGAACAGTCGTCCCTAGTCAAGCTTTTTCCGGTATATAGTTCGATGATAGACAGTATAATAGCTCCTAATGAAATGATAGAGTTGTATAGAGTACAAAATTCGGGTCTTGCTATAGCACGTTATACAGTAGACGCAGAGCCACCACTACCTAACAGAGAATGCGCATCTTATGAAAAGAGATATATGACCATATCCGATTATTCAAACACTTTACTAATAAGGTAGGCTCAGATCAAACTTTGAAGACTGTGTCTCATTACCCAATGTGAATCCCCCAAAAAACCTAATCAAGCTCAGACCTTATCATTATTATCAGATCGAGCCCTGCCTTCCATCCCATTGATGATAGCATTATAACTCTTTTATAAAAAGCGATATATCAAGATCTGGCCTATTGGCTCAATGGTAGAGCGTCGCTCTCCTAAAGCGAAGGTTGTGGGTTCGAGTCCCATGTGGGTCGGAATATTCTTTTTTGTTTTTCTTTTTTTTTGAACCCGTCACTTTAAGGGAGTTGTTCCCGCAGTGGTATGCTACACCCCACTCCACTCTGCCGCAGCTAAATATATATTTCGAGGTTCGGCTGTACGCTCGTGTAGGAATGTTCAGTTTTTCTGGTAAAGATATGGGATGATGTATTTTTGCATGTGGCCTAGTATAGTTCAACTGTGCTTATGTAGTATTTATTCCATTGCGCGCCTTTTGTTTGTTTATCCAGAGGTCTGTGTAAACATAAATGGGATTCTAGTCTATATAATTATGCATCTCTATAAGCTTTGTGGTCTCCACCATGACAAGGTCAAACTATCAGATCATCGGAAAAGAAATGGCCGTCGATGTACTTCGAGGTCCATCTTTTCCGGGTCCGATAGCGTATAGCATAGCACTGCATGGTGTCCATCCCCTAACATTTCTAGAGACGTGTCACGCACACGAGCATGTTCTGGGATGAAGCCTGCTACCTCACCCTCACTCTCGATAGCGACTACCTGACGCGCCAGAGTTGCGAAGAATCGAGAGTCATATGGCCCTTCGCAATGGGGCCAAGAATCAAGAAGACTTAATGCTCGTTGTCGAGTGGGGAGATCTCGACACCGAAGACTGGTCCAGCCTAGTGGAGCAATGATGCCTATGTCGGCTACTATCTTAGTGAGATTCTGGCCGTACTCTGCTCTCATGCTGTTGATGATGCGCTCGCAAAGGTCCACGAATGTTCGGAACTGTGGTAGATAGTAGTCATATACGAGCTCTGACAGGCTAAGTACGGTTCCCAGATCCACCATTAAGACGATATGGTGAAGTCTTATCGTGTCCAAGCTGCGTGCTTCTTTGGTGGTCATCTTGGATGGATGGAATCGCGCGCTGAATGCCTCAAAGGCCGAGATATGTTTCATTAGCTGAGTCCGTAGCTTGTAGTGCTCGACGGTGAGTTGAAGGACGTCGGTCATTGGATTGCAGAGCAATGACCGGCAGGTGGTTCGAAAGCGGAAGATGACATTTCCCAAGGGATCTAGCTTGCCTTTAACGTCCTCCAAGCTTTGGAAGTCGAATTCTTGGTTGAGAATATCAGAAGTCAAGTAGCCGTTCTGTGCTCCTAGTCTAGTAACGGAGCCAGACACGCTGAAGAACGCGGATTGAGCATCCAGCTGTGCGAACGCTCGCAGAAGTGCCCTTTCGGCAGTAGATTCTTGGGCAGGCTGGAATACTTTTGACATTACAAGGGTACGTGCCTCGTTCCCCTTGCGGTTCGCCAAAACTTGAAGCCCGTTCTGGAGATGAGCGAATGCTTTTGCCCGATTGCCCTGAAGGTATTCAAAGAAAACAAAGGTGACGCAGCACATAAGCACAGCCAAGCAAGCCTGAGGATCGTTTGACTGCAGGCGTTTTTGTAGGGCAGAAATGGCCCTGTTGTACTGCTCGAGCGCGAAGCGATGGTGGTCATTACGATCCAAGTCAACTTTCTGCACAAGCATTCCTCTAGCTTCGGAGTCTTGATGCAAGGCCCCTAGAGCCACAACTGCATGGCATACAGCGGTCTCGGCTTGGCTCATCTGGAGTGCTAGTCGCTGCCAGAGTTCCGAATCAAAGAATCCCACCATCCTAGGCACGGTATGTGTTTGGAAGTAGGTAAAACATCGACGTTCGTCTGCACTCATTCCGGGGAGACAGACTCGTAGCTGAAACTTTGGGCGATTAGCATTGTGCAAATGCTCGCCGACTCTTGTTGGAAGTCGGGTGAAATCGTACCCATCACAGGTCCGTCCGGTGGAGGTGCAGTTCTTGCACGCTCCAGGAGTCTCATCGCATTTGACTCTTCTCGTCCGACAGGTTCGACATCCGGTGCGGGACTTGGGGGCATATTGTCTCCGTCTTTTGGTTTCCATTTCGGACAGTCACGAGCAACGGGAATTCTGCAGAAGCATGAACTTGGACCCTGAGTCAGACCATCGAGCGCAGTAATTAGCTCATATGCTAGTCGATTATGGTAACTAGGGGCATTAAGGCATAGCTTAGTAAGGTGATGGTGAAGCTCTGTTGGTCAATAGATTGCCACTATCCCTGACCGGCAGCAATAGCGCTAGTGCACTTGATGCCTCTCCAACCAGCATCGGTTATTCACTTCATCCTATCAGTATTAATCTGCAGCAGTCAAGGCTGAGCTTATCTTGCCTCGATAAGTCTAGTTCTGTGGGGAAGGTATACTAGCTTCATTCGTGAAATAATCCTTGGTTTGTTCGCCTGTGTTAGCGATGCCCACAGATATATACCTGGCTGAAATAATACGACCATGGAGTATTAACTCTTGGCTGTCATAAAGAGAGGTTGTTTTGGACTGTAGATGTGACGAGCACAGTATCGAGCGGAAATATAGATGAAGGAGAGCGTAGCATAAGCCTGGAATTTAAATGATGAGGCTCTGGGGCACCTGATGCCCAATGATCAATCCCCCCATCACCGCAAGGGAGGAGGATCTTCTTCCTTTCTCCGCGACCGGCATGACTGGTCCTCTGTTCCCCACGCCAATGAGCGTGGTAATCGTACTAAATTCTCCGGCTTTCTGTCCGGACAACCGGTGATCTCGAAACATGTCCGGTGCTCGAGATAAGTTCTTCCCCGCTTTGATAAAGTCGGATAACTGTCGTGTGTCGCTGATAAGGCGGCGGCCATGCTAAAAAGTCCATACATCTAAATCTCCATGTCCACACGAGGATGTTTTGGCACAATCTATTCTTCAAAACCCTTTTTACCTAGTGCTCCTAATAGGCCATACTACACAGCGCAAGGTTCCTAATCAGCATGGACAATTCCATAAAGTCTGCGGCGCCCGTCGCTCACTCCCTTGATGATAAAGGGTTAGGCAGTATTCAGGTCCAGAATGCAGATGAATTGCGCCTGGCGCAGATGGGTACGTTTAATGTCACCAAAGCCTCTAATTCCACACATCTAACGGAATTTCAACTTGCGATACAACAGGCCATAAGCAAGAGCTGAAACGCCACTTTTCAGTATGGAGTCTCATCGGTCTGGCTGCAAATTGTACCATCTCCTGGACTGGTGAGTTAACCACTACATTCTTGTACAAACATGTATGCTAGACGCCAAACAATCTAACCCAGATTTTAACAGGACTCGGTCTGGGTCTCATCACTTCCATCAACGCTGGCGGTCCCGGTGCCCGTACGGAGCCCCGTAACTCTAGAACAATGCCATGAGATTGACCTTCCCAGTTATCTACGGATTTATCTTCGTCTTTATCCTGCAATGCTTTCTAGGAACATCACTAGCGGAGTTTGTTTCTGCGTACCCAGTCGAAGGTGGGATGTATCACTGGATTGCAGCCATTGCTCCGAAACGGTACAGCAATGTGTTAAGTTTTGCGACTGGCTGGAGCACAGTGTTCGGCTGTATGGACCTCTACAATATCTGCTAAGTGATCCGATGCTGATGTCTATAGGGATATTTACCACTGCCTCTACGAACCTCGTTTACTCATCGAACTTCATCGCCCTCATTGCCTTGTACAGACCCAACCTTGTTGTGCAGCCTTGGATGACTTTCGTTGCGTATCAAGGGTTCAACGTCATAACCTCTGGAATCGTCATGTTTGGCAATAAGTGGATGCCAGCAATCAACAAGTTCTCATGTTGGTATAACTTTCTCGGTTTCTGTGGCTCACCTGCTGATATGATTGATGGAACAGTATGCTACCTTCAACTAGCCTGGTTCGCCATCCTGGTCACCGTCGCAGCCACTGCCCCCAAACACAACGACACAGAATTTGTCTTTCGAACCTGGATCAACGAAACCGGCTGGAAGAACAATGTCGTCTGTTTCATAACGGGCCTAGTCAACCCCCTGTACAGTCTAGGCGGCCTAGATGGGATCACTGTATGTATTCCAGTTCGCGTTGCATGGAAGTAATTACTAATTAGAACTACAGCACATCACCGAGGAAATGCCAAACGTAAGTATCACACTTTAGCTCCTGATCAGAAGCTAAACTATACACTGCAACAGCCAGGAAGAAACGCTCCTTTAGCACTAGGTAAGCCAAAAAAAGCCCGTTCCTCTAAGAATATACTAACGCAACTGTTTTCTTAGCTTGCACACTCGCCATAGCTTTCGTCACCGGCTTCACCTACCTCCTCAGCCTCATGTTCTCCGTTCAAGACTACGCAAGCCTCGCCGACTCCCCGACAGGTCTTCCCCTCGCAGAGCTCTTTCGCCAGGCAACCCAAAGCCGCGGAGGCGCCTTTGCCCTCGTCTTCCTTCTCTGGGTTGCAGTGGGACCATGCGTTATCGGCTCACAGCTAAGTATGACTAAACTGCCTCTTCAAGCTACGAATCAACCATTTATATATTAACGATGTAACTCTAATAGGCACCGGACGAATGCTCTGGGCATTTGCCAGAGACGACGGACTTCCCTTCTCTAAGTTGTACGTTCTACACCAACTAACCCATTAAACCTGGACCTCAGACACTAACCATATCCCAAGTTGTTCCAAAGTCAACAAACGATTCGGAGCTCCCGTCAACGCCCAGCTATGCGTGGGTATCATCATCGCCCTTCTAGGCTGTATTTACCTTGGTTCTAGCACCGCGTTCAACTCGATGATGAGTTCTGCTGTGTACGCACCCCATCACTCCCCACAATATTTAATACATCAAGCGGAAGTCCCCAATAATACTGACCTGCACTGCAGAACAATCAACAACATCGCCTACCTCGTCCCCATCCTTACGAACGTCCTCCTTGGTCGAAAAACCATGCACCGCGGCCCATTCTCACTAGGATACGTAGCAGGAATGACGGTCAATATTATCACTGTTGCGTGGCTGGTCTTTGCAATTGTGTTTTTCTCGTTTCCGTATGATATGCCTGTTACTGGTGAGTTCCATGTTATACTTTTAGCCTAATTCGTGTTGTTATCGAAACTTATCCATGCTAATTTCAACATGACAGCCTCGAATATGAATTATACATGTGTATGTGTCGGTGGGTTCCTGCTGCTGGAGCTATTGTGGTGGATTGTGGCGGGGAAGAAGTATTCGAGACGGATGGAGAAGGTAAGGGAAGAAGAGAAGAATGCTTCGCAGGCGGTGGTGGTGGATCTTGTGGGGAAGAGCTGAGTTTGTGGTTTGCTTTTTGTCTTGCGTGGATTGACTGAGGTTTACTCAAGATTGAATTTATGATCTATGATTGTGTATTTATTAGGAATAATTGGGATGTTCTGGACTATGATACTGCATGTGCCCCGTACATGCATATATGGCTATTTATGGCCATTGAGGCTAATTAGATCCTTGACGCTAAATAAAGTATACTGTGCATATGCATTGCGGATGGCGGGAGAAAGTAAATGTCATAACAACGTCGCAATTCTTGCATGCCTGCAGTGCAAGGTGGCTGACGTGTTGAAAGTCAAGTCATGATTGTTCTGAGTACTGAGCTAGAAGTCAATTAAACGCCCATATCCGCAATAGGAAATATGACGGCCACATATAGCGTCCGATGGACGAATTATGGAAAGATGATTAGCGGTCTCTAAGCCTCTCAGAGCTTCGATCCTTCAATTTCAGTTTCGTAAGTAAGACGGCCCCTTCAGCTGCAAGTGAAGATGCATCTGCTACCGTCCAGATGAATGGGGTAAACTTTGCGCATTAATATATAGCAGCTCAAAGGCTGCATTAGTGCTATCGCTTCTCTAGTCGATTTCGACCCTACATTTGCAGGGGTTGTTGTCCCTACTTGGATCGTCACCCAATGCAATAATTATCCGAGGCAGGCGTTAACATCGTCGAGTCCGTTATATCAAATAGGTGTAGCTAAATATTGAGTTCAGTGATATGCTGAGATTAACACAGTCTCCCGAATAAGAAATCTTTGACGACTGGTGAGCTGGAAAATTCGGGGTTCAAGAGGACACAGCTATGCCGATTGATGTTAGCTATCAGCCACGGACAAAAACCATGTTCCTGCTGCTCACTTCAAGAAATATTCCAATCCAACCCTGCGGGACTCAAGAAACGAAGGGCGAAATTTGACTGGGTGTCATCCGTCAGTCAGTTTGATGACTCGTGTGTATTGTCTCAGACGTACATATAACGCTCTTGGGAGGAAGAGGAGGTAGGGCATTCTTCGCATGTGGGAAGGATGCCACCAATCGTTGTCGCAAGTCGTCGAATTCGGAGTATCTAGGGACAGAAATGTTAGCAAAGACCAACCATTGAGTGCAATTCCCAAGCTCACCTTAAACGAACGGTGATGGGACCACCCTGCAAGTCATTATTAGCACATAAATCTCCTAAGAGCATGGTGAGATAGCATCGCAAAGCAATGACGAGAGCCTGGCGAGTGAACGCTGACGTACATCCAGTGTCTGTATCCTGCAATTCCACACGACATAGGATCCGATGCCCGTCTTGCCTTGTACGACGACATGATCATCGACAACCACACTTTTCGCCCACAAACCACGACTAGTCTCGCAATCTGGATCCTCTGTATGATCCTCTAGTGTAATGCCTGGCGCCTGGTCGAGAGAGATGTGTGAAGCTCTGGATGCGTTTCTATGGTGACTCCAATATGGCGGAACTATGCCGGACACCGGACGGTCCTTATTCGAGAGGTCCTGTGCCCGAGGAAGGATCGATCCGTTGCTCACAGCGACTCCGTCGGAGAGGGATGCAGCTATAGTATCATTGTTTATGATGTCCGAAGGAGGGGACGAGGATTGGGTAGGTGAGGAAGGGCGAGGTTGGTGCGGAGGCACGGAGGCGATGTCCTCATTCGCTGGCTCCATCCATCTAGATATTCGGTGGACGGGACAAATGCGAGCCTGGCTGTCACTAATAATAGGTTGGTAAACGGCGTGCAACCACGAAAGAGGAGATGAGTGGCGGGGGATGGCTAAATGTTTGGTCACTTACGGGAATTACTAGTGAAGCTTGCTGGTACAACAGGAGGTCTGTGTACTGCGTTTCAAAGCCACAGGGTGTCAGCCCGGGTTTAGGTCAGGTATGGCTCGGTATGATACCCGAGAGTGAGAGAAGCGGAGACTCTGAAAGGAGGGGGAAGGGATGTTGATAAGATAGAATGTCTCAGATGGGGGAGGGATTGCTGCTTGAAGCCCATGGATTGACGATCGATATCAAGCCATTGCACCGGCCACGCTCCGTGTTCCGAAAGGAGCCAACGGGGATCACGGGACCACGTCGCCCAACGCCTTTCCAGAAGGAGCGAGTCATGTGCTGCTTATCTAGCACCCGCAAAGACATACTGTAGGTCTGTTTGGTATGGGTGAAAGTATGATAAATTACCACAAGACATCTAGTTCGAAGGTTATGCTTTTTGTTTGAAAGAGATCTCCATTCTGCATCAAAAATGAGACCCAAAAAAAGGTCACGCAGGAAGCTTTCTTTGTGCAGCAGAAGCAAGACTCAAAATCTCTCAGGATTAGACTAGTTAATCTGGATAATCCAATTCCGGCCGCATTATTTCCCGCTAGCCAATTTGGCGCAGACTAGTTCATTCCTCCTAGTCCCAACTAGGGCTAGTTACCAGGGTCCACGCTAGAAAAAGCCAAGAGTAGCCTTGCCCAATCAGGCATTCTCCAGTAATGGAGGATCGCCCAGTCGGGGTCCTTCAACTGAGACAATGCGGGTTCCCTTCCCCCAATCCTGCTCCAGCCGAGGTGCGGTTGCTTTCCCCGTCCCCGTCGGCTGTCAGCCATCTGGAAAGATTCACCCTATCAATTGGGTCTCTTTCTGAGACATCCTCACACCATCAGAGGCTGGTCTGCTGCTTTCTGTTCCATGCAGAAGTCAGGCGCGCTGGCAAATTCTCCCAAACCTGCAGTCAATGGCTGAACGATAACTAAACATAGCAGCAAAGCAAGCAGGGAGGAAAGAGGGGCCATGTTACCTGACAGGCTAAATCGATATTGCAACCCGCCAACGAGGGTTTAGACAGAAACTTAGTCCTATCTGCTATCGCACTGTATGGAGCTTTTGCTAGATGACTTTCCAATCGGCTAGTGGTACCAACTCGACCGGACTCTCTTCCGGCGTTTCTTGTCTTGCTCCCTCGCCTCTGTCTTCAACCTGTTTTGGCCCCGTCGTTGTCATTTCCCCCCGGTGGGTAAGAGTCATACGGTCAATGGGACCGGACTCCAGTCATGAAAAGAAAATAAGAAAGATGGAGACTAGCCACTCACTTAGCTCTTGCCAACCCGGCCTGGAATTTGATGGCTGGATCCAGAAGAAGCCGTCTGGAGCTTTAGGGAACTGATAGCGCCGCCACCACCCCAAGCTGACCTCGCGTAACGGGCGAAAAGTAGTACGGTGTGCGTGAATACTTATACCGAGCTTTGAGCACCAGCTTTTTCACTATTTATCGCTTGCCCTTTTGGCTTTCTGATTTCTTTTCTCTCGGTTCTCCCTCTGGTAGTCCCGAGCTCTTGCTATTTCCTATTTGAGTTCCCCCTTGTTTATATCACCAGCAGCCCACTCCATCAATTTGGCATACTACCTGTCCAAAACTCTACTACACTTCAAGCTGCCTTAGACTGAACACGTATGTGCGAGGCTATCATATCCCCCAGATTCCCATTCATTAGTTACAGAGATCAACACTGACATCTTGCATCATCGTCACAGTTCAAGGTCCTTTCTTTCAGTATCCCTCAAGTTCCGCTGTCGTACCCACCGCTTTTACGCCACTCGATATGCTTCTCCTCCGTCCTCTCATTGCTATAGCCTCCGTGGCTGGCCTGGTCCTCTCGCAAAACACTACCACCACCACCTCCTCCTCCTCCTTTGACCCCAATAGCGTCCCGATCGACACAAGAAGTATGTTCTCTCTGTATGCAATACTATGGTGCCAAATGTCTCATCTGACTGTGTAACGATAGACCAATGGTGTCAGTCTCAGACCTCGCAATGTCCATTACTTTGTTATCAGTTGCCAAACACATCGGGCTCACCCAAAAAGAACACATGCGACGCTGTAAGTGCGAATGATAAAAACCCTATCTATCCAATCTACTTCATCTTGACTAATGCAATGGGGTTTGAATGCAGAAAACTCTTCAATACCAGTGCATCTGTAGCAATGGCCTGAGTCCCAACTCATCTCAGTACTCAGAGACCATCCCATACTTTATTTGCACTGAAGAGAATGACGAATGTGTCACTCAATGCAATGGCGACTCGACCTGCCAGTCAAATTGCCGGTCTGAGCACCCCTGTGGTGCACAGGACCCCAAGCGTGTGAACGTGACGTCCACCGCTGCTTCCACTACCGCCGCAGCCACAACTTCCCTTCCGCCATTTACTGGAGTCCCTGATAAGGGAGCAGCAGCCAGGCCGTCAACTGACCTTGGGCAGGTATATGGCCTGGTTGTAGTTGTGGGAGCTTTCCTGGCTGGGTTTACGACATTGCTTTGAGACCAAGGCTACAAGTCAATACGAAATTAATGCCATCTCTACCAAGTCCAAGGTTGGAACATTTGTAATGGGGCATGCCACAATTATGTAATAGTCACTTTTCGCGCATGTTTTGTTGATCTCTGAAATAATCTTCTTTCTTCACTGAGAGCGCTCGCAGCTAATTGATGGGGCGTCTTCTTTCAAAGTCGACACAAGTTATGTAATGGGAATTCATGAGACCATCTACTCTTTCCAGATCTAATAGAGACTTTGATCCAGGCGTGCTGCATTTGAGGCAGTAATGCGCAGTTTGTGATGTCCAAATGAGATACAACCAATTAACACAGCTGGGAGCAAAAGGCTGCAGGGAATGGCATCTACTGATAGCTATGTTGTGAGACGAGCGACTGATTATCCCCGAAAGGTATCCCTGGGCATTTGTCGCTTTTGAATCAAACGCAGCAGTATGGTGAAGACAAAGTGAGTCGAGTTTGAGTGGAGATGTACCGCACGATGGTCATTTACATATTCTTTACACTCCTTGGAAGAAGAAGTTCTCCACCTTCTGCTCTTAATGTACTAATACTGTTCTTCCTGGGGCATTCTACCAAGAAGAGGGTCACTGTCGACGACTGGGACGGGATTTACGCATCTTTTACTTGACTTTCTTTACCACAAAGCATGACTTATGTGCATCTTTTTTCTCAGAGAGATCAACAACACCCGCACTCAGAGCAACAACAACCTCTCTTCTCCAAGTATTGGCAGCAGTTGTCCCCACTTCTTTCCTATCTTGCATTCACTCTTCCAATGTGTTCAGCAACTTCTTTGGCAACTCACAACACTGGCGGGTCTCCGGTTGGCCGGGGCAGGTCACCCCAGTGTTCCTGCCAGTTTGGTCGACACGGAACCCATTCACTTCTTTGCAACATCTTTCCTTGCGCTGGTTCTATTCCCCCCTCGGGGACAGTCTTCTACTTCTCCCACACATCGAAAGGACACGATCCATTTATTTCATCTCCGGCTACTACTCGGGTCTCTTGATCACCTCTAGTTTCTTAAAGCTATCTCTCATCCCATAACAACCTTCCATTTATCTTGAGTCTGAGAGAACGAGCAATAGCCGCCAAGGTGCTCTTTGCCTTGTCTTGTGTCTGACCACCTTATTGTCATCTTTGAGGTTAGGCGTCGTGAGTTTCGCTTTCTGCATAAACAAGATGCCTGGTGACCGCGTAAGAGCAGTCCTCATCGCCAGCTATAATCCTACTCTAACAGCTACTTTAGGGATCCCGTTTCTGTCGTTTCTGCTCTAGACCTGGGCACGAAGATACACAATGTAACTTCCTTACACTTTGTCGGGGCCTCTATGAACTTGTACGTTGAACTGGCTGTTACAGCGCGGCTACTAATTCTCGTGCAGTCTCTCATGGTATCGCACCGGCCTGGAACCAGAGTTAACCTCACGGAAACTCAAAGAGCTCTCGATAGAATCGTGACCCGTCGTAACAGAAACAGAAGGCGAGCTATAAGACGGCGCGAGCGTGTTCGAGCAAGAATCACGGATGTTGTAAGTACTCCGTGAGCTGAATTGTCAATATTGCACAGTGCTGAGTACATCTGTTCAGGCAAGGCGTGGAAATCATGCTCTAAATATTGTATGTACTCTGCAGCTATTTGACAGGGGCTAGCCATGAGCTTATGCTAAGGCCATCTGATATAGAGCCGACGCGGTCCTGTCCATGCTGCCGCATCAATGCGCAGGTAAGATACATGATTCTTTCCTGAAATATGGTGACTGATGAGATAAGTGTTCCATCAACCATGCTGAGACTGCCTGCTATTCCCCCGGCTGCGTAGGTGGTCCATGATCCCCTATTCTATGTTCTCACTAACTAAGCTGGTTAAGACTGACCTCTGGCCCCGCGAATGCCCAAGTCATTCCAGGGGAAGAAATGACGTTGCCTGCTCACCACCTACCGAGCCTACCTGCCCCTGAGGCAGAGAGTGTATCACCAGTCCCAACTGCAACTAGGTATGTTGTTTCGAAGCCACGCAACTTGAAGAATGATTATCTGACTGTTGTATTAGTGACACTGACGTGACCATGGGTGTCGAGTAAGTATAATCCCATTCTTTGGTGCCGATCTCCGTAATAACACGCCAGAAGAGAGCTTGAAATTAGTACAAACGCATTAGAAGCCAGGTAGGCCCCATGTGGAGTATGGTAGAGTATTATACTGATTCCAATTCTCTCTAGTCGGTCACAATCTGCGGATGATCTGATCGTTCTCGATACGCTCGACACAGCTGATGATTTCGTGGTGATGAACTTAAGTCAGACTAACGAAATAATCGAAAATCACTGCGCAGAGTTGTTTACTATTGTGTAGCAAGTCCTGTTGTGACTAGGAAGGACTGGAGGAATATCACCCGATAATTCGCAACGTCTGTGACAGCTGCTGCAAGTCCTAGCCTTGAGAGGAACGAGGTCATCGATACCAGTAGCCGAATGCGGGCGTTATAGGCTGCCTCGCTTTCCTTGGAGGCAACTCCATCTTCGTCACTATACATGACAATTGTTTTGCAGCACAGCTACCTCTTCGCAGTGTTTCTAGGGCTTTTAGTGGGGACATGGACTGTTGCGAACCTAATGGTAACGCAGAATAGCTGCGAACCGCTGCAAGGGGAATTCGTGAGAGACTTTGTATCTAGAGATACAGCCTGAAAAATTTTACCATATTGGGCGTGACTATCTAGGTACAACCAGGAATTCGTGTAGTAACTGGAGACCAGTTAGTATCCACTGGCCTGATTGTGGCCTGAGGAATGAAGTCTAAGGGTAGCTACGAGGCGGTCATAAAGGCGGTGAACGCAGCCTAGGCAGCTACGTCGATAGATCGGGCCAAATGATGCGGCCGTCGGTGACCTTTGCGATAGATCATCTCACCCGCACATCCCACCCTGCCGGCTTGCATACTGCTGTTTTGATTTGCAGATTGCCCTTCATACTGCTGAGTGGCTGATCTTGCTGGATCACCATCTATGAACTTGAACGAAGCCGTTTCCTGACATCCGCGGACGCCTACACCTCAAAGACCCGCTTGTTCTCCACTTCGCCTCTACCTGTGCGGCGTTATCACACCTGATTTACTGCATTTCAACGTCAGGAGTTTCGTGGATACTCGACTACACTTCCGGAGGCTACGGACCGAACAAATCTCTTCATTCGATTTGCTCTTGGCCCCACACATCGTTCTATATTACTTCGCGTGTCAGTAGCCGAAAGCCGCACGGAATTGACGACATGGATTACACGCAGTCAGACCCTTTCTATGGGGCTATTCCAGCTCAAAGCGCTGGGTCAGTCACTGGTGCCGGGGGTGTGGACCTAGAGTCTTTGGGTGGAAATGTAGCAGGTCCTCTGGTGAAAGTTGATGGTATGTTGGCTCTGTTGGATTGATCCAAAGGAACAGCAATGAATAACTCTCACCTTTTAGATCCGCCTAAGTTTGAACTCGAGTCATATATTGCGAACTACACCGGTAGGTTACGCCTTAGATCACACGCGCTCCTTGCTGTGGCTAACCCCGCTTCTTTCTCTTAGGCCGAACCAGATTCAATCGACTGTTCCTCATAGGCACATGCTCCACTTATCTCTCTGTCGAGGCATTGAAGGCCGCAGTTGCAGAAGCCAAGAGCGGCAGGGATGTTTCCAGATACGAAAATGCAGTTCGGGCACTTGCCGAAGTTGCACCCGGTGACCCTGAGGCAACGCTTGATACAAACTGGGTGGATCATATGAAGAAGTCTGTCAAGGCGGAAACAGATCGACTAGAACACGAGCTCAGAGGCTATAAGAACAACCTGATCAAAGAGAGCATAAGGGTACGTTAGAGTGCATTTGGCAAGACTACCGGCTGTCAACCGTTTTCTAACCGCTTATAGATGGGCAACGAAGACCTCGGGCAACATTACAATCAGATAGGTGACCTTGTGTCAGCTTCCAAAGCATACTCTCGTATGAGGGACTATTGCACCACACCAACGCACATTGCGTCAATGCTATTCAAGATTATCAATGTCGCAATTGAGCGCGGTGACTGGCTCAACGTGCAAACGAACGTGCACCGGCTACGCAATCTGCAATCGAAACAAGAGGAGCAAGCCAAAAACGAGCCCAAGATGTCTGCTGCGCTGGGCCTTTCCCAGCTACACTCTGGTGCATATGTGGATGCTGCCAACAGCTTCTTGGCCACCGATCCGAGCTTAGGAGACTCTTACAACGAAGTACTCACATCCAACGACGTTGCAGTCTACGGTGGGCTCTGCGCGCTGGCATCAATGGACCGCAATGAGCTACAACGTCGTGTCCTCGACAACAATTCATTCCGCAATTTCCTTGAGCTGGAGCCGCACATCCGCCGGGCGATCTCATTCTTCTGCAACTCTAAATTCCGAGCCTGTCTTGAGATCCTAGAAGCCTACAAGGCCGACTACCTCCTCGACGTCCACCTACAGCGCCATGTCAAGACACTCTTCACGCGCATCCGCACCAAGTCCATCCAACAGTATCTCGTACCCTTCAGCCGCGTGACCCTCGAATCCATGACGAAAATGTTCGCCCCAGGAGTCATAGGCGGCCAAGCCGACCCTACAGACTCCAACTCTCCCTTCGTGCAGGAGCTCATCGAATTGATTCAGGATGGCACCCTCGACGCGCGCATTGACTTGGAAAAGAAGGTGCTGGTCTCCAACCAGGTCAACCTGCGCACTGACGTCCAGCAGTCCATCCTGGACAGTTTGGATAATTACATCCGCGAAGCACATATTCGCGTCCTCCGGACTAACATTATCCAAGCTGGACTGGAGGTCCGTTCAGACGAGCGACGACCGAGAGATGACAGGGGAAAGGGTGGGGATACCTTTGGCAATTTCCTTCCGCGCGGTCCGGGGGTCATGTAATGCTACTAGCCAGTTAGCCAGCCAGCCAGTCAGCTGATGAATGAGATACGACAAAGATTATCAAATTACCATTAGCTATTTGAGACACCTCCTCTTGTACCAGCATCTTGTATGGTTCACATAATGCGAAGAGGTAGGTTAATCGATTCACTTTCTCAGCCATGCTGATATGTGGGGAGACGTAGCACATGAGTTATATCTATTGCAGCAAACTAGTTTCTCCAAGGAGAGTACTTTATTTCTTCTTGTACTTCATAAGTACTGAAGGATTTTGTAGTGTGAAAGATTGGAGTAGCTCCTATATTCGTTCTCAAATAGAGAGAAACATCAGGTCATTGAGTAGTAAGTAGTACTGTTGGTAACACAATACGAGCCTCATCCTGTCATTTCCTAGAGCCAAGACAATGTAAGTTGTTTACTATTTGCTCTTCGCTTTTTATGCACGTGTGGCAAGTACTAGTGAATGGTAGGTAAGGTGTTTGTCTAATGTCTATAGTGGATGTGGTTTGTATGAACTAGTAGAGTAGATGAAGGAAGTCTTGGGACATACATATAGTATGTGGAACTTCTTCCCTAATATTATCAAAGTATACAACTGCTACAGAGTGTAAGCATATCTCAACTTGGATGGATGGTATCAATTGACATGATAATATTGAGGTGATTAGAATCATAATAAACACATCAATAAGGGTAGTAATAGTAGTAGTAGTAAATAGATAGACATATAGAATAAAAAAAAAAGAAACCATTCTTCACTTGCGGCACATGATCATCAATCCACCACGCCTCATTTTCCCATCCAGCTTGCGCGCAGTTCTAAATGCAGAGTTTATATGCTGACATAGTGTATGTTGTATATCCTTTCCCGATATACTATGACCACCTTGCTTCCTTTTACGGAACAACTCACGGCTCTACTTCCACGGCTCAACCCACAACATATTTATGGGTACTGTTTAAGCCATAGCCAGAGCAACCATCATGGCAGCACCACCGGCAACCCACTGGCTAGCGCCAGTAGCGAACGCACCACTGTCACTGGTGGTAGTAGCAGCGCCGGTAGAGGCGGCAGAAGAAGAGCCAGAGGCATTACCGGTAGCAGAGGCGGTGGAGGCACCACCGGTAGCAGTGCCAGTGGCAGAGGCAGTAGAAGTGATGGTGATGGGGACCTTGTTGAGCTGGGCGGTGGTAACACCGCTGGAGGAGGAAGTCTGGGTGTCAATGTTGTAGGTGAAGGCGCAAGAAGCGACAGTGGTGCCGGTGAAGGAGCAGGTAGCCTGTTCGGAGCTGTTGTTTTGTGTGGTAAGTATACAGATAAGTATATGGAATTGTAGGGGCAGCTAGGTATGTGGGTTAGCTTACAATTGGTTACCGGAGGAAGTGAAGGCCCAGGTGCTGCTGCCGACAGTCAGGGTCTCGCCGCTGTCGGGGATGTTGCAGCTGTCGTTGAAGTCATCGTCATCGTCATCGTCAGAGCTGGAGGCGGTGGTAGCACGCTTGACGACGGCGGCGCTGGTGGTTGCGGCGGTGGCAGCGGGAGCGCTGGTCACGGAGCCGCTGGCTGTCGCCGGGCAGTTGATGACCAGAGTGGTGAGGCTGCCGCCGGTCTAGTTGAGAGTTAGATCTGAGGAAGCATACGATGGTGAGAAGGGGGGTGTTTGGAGAAGACGTACGGTTCCAATCAGCTTGGCGTTGTAGTTCTCGCCGCTGGCGGAGGAGGGCCAGAGGACCGAGACGACATCGTCAGCGACGACGGTGGAGGCAGTGGCCAGGAGAGCCAGAGAGGTAGTCAATTGGAGACGCATGGTGTGTGATTATATGGTTGAATTAGGGAGGAGGGTATCTAGGGTTGTATGAATGAGGACTTGGGAGAAAGAGGAGAGAAAGGAGGATGAGAGTTGATTTGGATTGAGACTGTCTTGGAACATGTTCGCTGGGCATGACGAGGTAAATAAAGGCCCGTCAGGATGGGGTCCAGGGCCATGGGGGCGAAATCCATTTTTTCCTTTTCCCCTGGCGTGTTGGAAGGCAGACGGGCAAATGGCGGCGAGGCTGAGAGGGTTGGAGATGGACAGGGTCTGGCATCAAGCGCTGTTGGGGGCGCAGTCAAACATCGCAGTGCAATTGCCCAATTGGCCATAGCCAGGAAGAAGACCCTCTCGCACTAATGGGCGCTGAGAAACTAACAACACAGCCTAGAGAAGAACCTGTAAGCGCTGACGGATGGAGGTTCTTAGATGTGGTGGTGGTGGTTTTTGTCTGGTGGAACTGCTGATGGAGCCGGGGAAATTAGATGGATCGAGGATCTCCCTCAAGATCATGGCAAGAGTTCATTCGCGCCCTCGAAAACCAAATAGTAATTTTTATTCAAAGTACAAGAGTTTTCCTTTGGTTCATTCTGACTTCTCCTGATCTCTCCGTGAAACGGAGGCACGGCAGCCAAAACTGGGGCCAGACGTGGGGGCCGAAATTCTTCGTTTCAAAGCGCCGCAACAAACAAATACTCATTACTAGACTAGATGTTTAGTCGAACTGAGCCACGGTAGACTACAGGCGCCGGCTGCGGCTCATCGTTCAAGCTAAAAAAACCCATACTAATTCTTTTAGCAGCCGGGCTACTGCATTGAATCCTTGTCTCCTAGACAAAGAAACACATAACAATGGAGACGCTACTACACACCGAACCCAGCTGGTCCAGCGGATCGTGAGTGCCCAATGAATCCACTCACCAGGCCTGCCAGCAGCAATGCCCCATTGAACCCAGCCATGATGTAGAACGGTGCTCCCGACGACAGCACATCGAACAAGAGCCCACCCAGCTTGGTCAAGAGCAGGATACCCGCTCCACCGTACAGGGAATATACCCCAGCAATTGAGCCCTTCAGGTGCGAAAGATGCCGCTCTTTCCGGCCGGGACGATGGGCCACGAGTGGTCGGTCTTCTCCGTGCTCCTCTTCCTCATCGTCGACTGGGTTGTTCTCGTTTTCCTCCTCATCCTCACCCTCATCTTCGCTGGGTTCACTCGGTGAACTCCACCAGTGGTCTTCCATCCTACCTACCTCGCTCAAACTGAGAATGCCGCTGCTCAGCACTGATAGACTGCAGACAATCGCTCCAATTTGGCTGATACCAACCAAGCCCATCACTACAAATACACCGGGGTTGCCATTCTCCCCACTGAATTCCGGGCTGGGTAGCAGGGCAAACGTGGTATAGCCCACAAGGCCGGCAAAGCAAGCTGCCAAAAGTGGCACGTGACGGCGCCGCGATCGCTCCGACAGATAGCCGAAGGCTGGCGCTGCAAGCAGCGCGACTAGCTGAGAGACCCCTGTCAAAATCGAAGCGAGCACATAGGCTTTATGGCATGACTTTTTTAGATCGCCAGGATTCTCAGCCTCGCCATCTTGGTTCCCGCACAGCCCCGACATGCGATAATAGTGGTTAACAGCGAGCGGGATGAACAGCGAGATCCCCACGGACGATGCACGCGCCACGAACCCGCCCAAGTAGCCCAGAAATATATCTGAATTTCGGAATCCCAGAGCGAACGCAATTCCCAGCTGCTCGAGGTATGGCAATTGGAATTTGCGAGCATACGAACACGCCTCGCCGCTATCCGGCGTCCCGCGCCGACGTGCGGACCACAGCGAGCTCCATGACTTGCCCTCTTCTCCGGGGAGGTTTCTCAGCCCAAAGAAACAGAGGATACTGATGACTAGAGATACCACAGCCACGAGATAGTAGCTGCGCTGGATAGCTTCCGCAGGGGAAAGTCCTGACTGCTGGAACCGAGCTGGAAGGGGCAGGAAGATGACGAGAGCAACGAGAGCGCCACATCCCGCACACATGCCTACATATCCAGCCAGTCGGGAGGATGAGCTCTTACTCGTCCGGGAGTCTGATGTAGATTGATGCTGTGATGATGAGTGTGAGCCGGCTACGGCTGGAAGAACTGCTGTGACCATTGTTGATACTGCGGCGCCTCCAAGACTGAACAACAGCCTTCCCAGGAGTAACTGGGGGTAGACATTTTTCGCCTGAACGAAGAGGACCAAGGCAAGCGCCACAATAGCATAGCCGGTAGTGCAGACCTGTGTAATAGACACAATGTATGAGAAAATTTACAACAAGTGAACTGGCTTGGGGGGTAAATAGCAACGGGGTGAGCGCTTACATGACGGACGCCGATGCGATCCGACAGCACTCCCCACAAGGGGCAGGCGACCAGGGCAAGCAGTTCGTCGGCAAAGCCCAAGGTTCCAACCGCATCACCTTCTCCGTCACGGAGTCCAATTAATTCCGTGACGACAAATGAAATGGACGAGTTGATGAAGACCAGGAATGCAATCGAGAATGGACACACGCCAAGCAGGTAGGTCCATGTTTGCACGCGGCTGGCCGTGAATAGTGTCCGTGGAGAAGCCATGGTGAGAATAGTCTAGACAGGGGAGAGGGAACCCTAGCTCATTCCGGCTTGAATGGATGTCCAAACTAATGGAGCGGTTCTGTCGAGCTGCTTGAGCTTTATCCAGAGCCCGTCCAACAATTTATTTATACTGTCTGACTGATATGATCTGGACTTTCCGTCCATTGAAGCTGATAATCGGTGACCGATGACGGAGCTGTCAATCACACCGGATGCCGGCCAGCTCTCCGTCACCTGATCAAGTGGAGAGGAAGACGAGTAACACGTCAATAAGCAAAGTAAAAAAATAAGCTTCCAGAAACTTCAGACTTTCTCTATACATAAGTCCGTATGCGATCTTGTGACTTGCATCATCTAGATTAGATTCCGTCAACTCCTTTTCATAACTGTAGATTGATTAATATTCCAACTATCCAAGCATGGACAAGAATGAAGACCAAACGCCGAAAGAAGTAACGGACAGTCAGCTGCCAAGGCGGTGACTCCAGGATTGGTAACATTACGCAGTACCAGGTACCGGGCGATACCGAGTAGTAGATTAGCTGTCCAGAACATCTCCATCCATTCATTCATCCATCCATCCTTCCCCCCATCCTGGCTCTGTTCTCCACGCGATCTACCTCATCTTCTTTCCCTCTTAGTGATTACTGCTTACCCCCTTCTTCTAAACCTCCCATCAATGATCTTTTAGAGAGTTCACCAGCCCAGCTGCTACGCCCTTGTTCATGAAAGCGGGCATTGCGCCCACCCTCCTCTCCCCGTCGCCATGAGATTGGCCGTGTATGCTGGGGTATGTCGCCCTCAGCTTGCTCCTTGTTGTAGATCCAGTCTGACTTGTCTTCATAGGCCTCAGCCGCCCTGGCAACTGGCGTCTTCTTAAAAGCGCTGCATCAGCGAGCGAACTTCTATGCTGCATGCGTATACCTCTCGCAGAGCAGTGCAAATCTCATGGTAAGCTTTCCCCGCCCCGGGTTTCAACAGGCGCTCCCTCGGCGCTCCCAACATTGGACGCCTCACTCCTCTTTTAGGAATTCGCTAACATATTATTGATTAGATATTGATGAACATTAGCCTGCTAGCGGTCGGCTTCTTTCTATTCTGGCTTCAGCGTCTCCTCTACGGACCTCTTCGACCTATAGAAACGGAACAGCTCTACGAGAAAGCATGGTTTGCCGTAACAGAGACATGTTTGGCGATGACGATTTTCAGAGGAGAGTTGGGCGGTTGGTTCCTGGTCATGTTCGTCTCTTTGCTAGTTGGAAAGGTCTGGGGTTGGATCGGCGAGGGTCGGGTCGAGTTTCTTGAGCAACAACCCCCAGCAAATCCGCGATTGTTCCACATCCGACTTGCAGCCTCGCTGCTCCTTTCAGTTCTCTTCAACTCGCTTATGCTGAGATACTGCGTTCGCACCGTTCTTGAACAGGCACGGCCCGATATGATGGTCATGTTCGGCTTCGAATTCGCCGTTCTCACCATCCTCTCCAGCTCGACTGCTGCCCGCTACGTCATTTCATTGGTCGAGATCTACATCACCCATCTCCAAATGAAGGCTAAGATTGAGGAGCGCCGTCGCGAAATCAGAGATGCTAGGGAGGAGTCGCTGCGCCAGTACGCCGAGTCGGGAGAGACCGGGGCCACTCCCAACCTGCCGGATGAAAATGATATCGACGAGATGGAATTGGATGTACCTGGGTGGGAAGAAAAGGGCCGCTGGATCTTCTACCTCGACCTGCTTACCGATTTCCTCAAACTCACAGTATATCTTACCTTTTTCGCGATCCTGTTTACATTCTACGGTCTCCCATTACATATTTTGCGCGACGTCGTCGTCACTATTCGGTCTTTCGGACGGCGCATCATGGATTTTGTGCGTTACCGCAACGCTACTCGCGATATGAACGAACGCTATCCCGATGCCACCGCCGAGGAAGTTGCACGCGAGGAGGTTTGTATCATTTGTCGCGAGGAAATGACCCATTGGCAGCAGCCGGCGGGCGCGCAACAGCGAAACCGGGTCTCTGAGAGGTTGCGCCCCAAGAAACTGCCCTGTGGTCACATACTGCACTTTGCCTGTCTTCGAAGCTGGCTTGAGAGACAACAGAACTGCCCCACCTGTCGACGCCCAGTTATTGCGCCACCCCGGGCCCGGGGGGCGGGCGATGGTGGTAACCCGAACAATGCTGGTGCTCAGAACATGGCCGCTGGCAACCAACCCAGAGATGGGCAAGCAGATGGACTACCAAGAGCGCGTGTTTACCAATTCGGGCCTTTCAGAATCGGTTTCGGTGCGGGCAGGGGTGACCTCTTCCACAACCTTCACCAGCAGATCCATCAAGGCAATGCGCCTGTGCCACAAGCTAACAATGTCAATGCTCCGAA